TTTCTGAAATAGCACCAAAGCATAATTGACATTCAATAAATATTATTTTAAGAAGTCTATATTGAATAAAATTATTCTATTTCATTATATTCTAACAGCTGATAACTGATAAAGATACAGCACGGTTCGTTTTGTTTTAAGTTTTAGCTACTTATTATTGCTTTTATAATGTCCTAAAAATCCTATGGATTGTTGTTTTAGATATCGGTCGTTGAAGTTGAATGTATATCATACTCAAAAAAACCATTGGTACCATATACAATAGCAGACGAAGGGACCCACTTAGGGATCTTTTTAAACAAAATAATATTTTAACCGTTGCTAAACAATTCATACTGGATAATGTTATTTGTATTAGAAACTAAATCAATTATTGTGATATAACGAGTGATATACATAACTTTTATGTGCGTAATAAATCTAAACTTACGGTTTCATAGTAGTCTCCACAAAACTAGCGACTCATTATTGTGTAGCTCAGAGATTCACAAAGTGATCGAAATCGACGACTTGCGGTTGACATCGGTTTCTCAGAGATCGACATAAATGAAAACAGATTTTGGGGTTCGACGAGGTCTAAAAATCAACGTCTTTTAATTTACACAAGTTCTTATTTAAAACTTACAAGATACTGTATAAGTTGTGTTACATGTACCAACTTGTTATAAGAATGACTAATATTTTAGTAGGAAGTATCATTGCTGTACTTTAAAAAACTCAAAAGTCGATATAAGATGAAAAACTCAGCAAGTTAATAAGCGTGGACAAGTTGGTGCAGGATAATTAGTTCGAGCGTACAGTTCTTAAAGTAATTTGACTATGGGGGTCTGTGGTATCAGTTCATTTTGGAAAAGTGGTCTCTTGCCCAAAATAGTTTGGGAATCCCTGGTGTAGACGTATAACCATTTGTAACAAGATTATTTCTATAATATTACAGGGTTGAGGGCACAAGCAAAGATCCTTCTTATGAAGAAAAAATATTATAAATTATGTGATTATTTACTTTACTTTTATTTATCGTTTCGGTTGGGCTCGACCGGAGAAGGACCACAATCTCAGAAAATACTAGCGTAAAATAGCAGCTTAATGCTGCTGTGTTTCGTATGGTGAGTGTAAAGATCCGGAGACCTTTTTTACTGGTAACTAGACATTCCATCTTAGTCCTCATAGGTGACAACGCAACTGCATTTTGATTCTTAATAGAGGTTAAATGTAGGTGTATATGGGCCACAGCATCCACTTACCACCAGGTGTGTATTCTAAGTTCTGAGATAATTTTTGGAGCAGGAAGGAAGAGTCTGCCACGCTGCTCCAATACGTGTTTGCAGACTTTGTATATTCTCGAACTTCGAAGTACTTTTCGAAATTCATGCAGAATTTCTGGCAACGATGTTTTCCTTAACACATATTATGTGCTCAACACATGTTTAAAATCGCAATCTCAAAATCAATTAGATTGGTCCCTGGTTACTAGCATAGTTAATAAATATAGATATAACGTGTATGTTTAAGTTTTATGCATTGCATTATATATTTAAATGCAGGAAAGATATCGTATGTGGTTGACAGCCCTGAGCATGCAGATGTGTCGTACACGCCAGTGCAGGACTACGACGCGGCGGTCAGTCGCGAGGAAATTATCCATTACTCCACCGCTTGCAGCCTTTGTTCAACGTTCGATGACCCACGCATCTGTTCCTTTATTGTTTCTAACTGGGTCATTTGAAACGTTTGGGTTTTTGCCGGTAAGTCAGGCAGGCAATGTTATAAGTACATGTTTGTATAGTACATAAGTACATGGGAAGTCTGCAGTCTGTGAACACGTACAGGATCGCCCCCGTCACTACATCAGATTTGATAGACCGCAGATCCTCGCTAAAGAACACCGATTCCTTCCAAGGATGATTCGCGAGGCTATTGAAATCAAAAAAACATCCTAATTTCAATAGAGAAGATGGCTGGGTGCTATCTGCTTGGGATCCTATAATAAATAAAATTAAATTCCAACCCAAGCATATGACACTTTTAGTTTATAAATACAATCGTTCGTATTTATAAACTAAATACAAATGTAGTGTAGGCATAGATATAAGAAAGATTCTATGAGTGTAGGCTACACCAGGTAGTCACTAATACCATGGGTGCTCCCCATAAATTATTAATTTGTTTTTAAAAAGGAAAACTAAAGAATCTTTTAGGCCAGTGGTCTAATATAAGCTGAAGTATTGGACCGGACTGATGTAAACCCCAGCCGAGAAGTATCGGTGTAAAAATATCCACTACCACATATCGTGCCATGGGCGTCGAAAGAGGCTACAAAAGGAAACTGAAATACGCTAAACGTGGCAATCATGGCCAAATTCCCTTATGAGGCAATCTATGGGGAGACCTCGTTAAAGGCTAGGTTATGAATGATGAATTAATGATGATACTTAAATTAATATTTAAATCTGACGGCAGTAAGGCAGCAGATTTACTTCCCAAGGTATAAGTTTTGGCTGAAGCCATTAAAAATATCCGCGTCGGGGTGGATGGTGTATCCATGGTGTAACCCACTACCTCATCTGAGAAGTAAAGTACTGTTCAGTTACTTACGAGTAGCCAGCATTATCTGTGGCTCGTTTATTGCACGTGTATTCGAATGTTGAACAACAATAAACCGGGTTAGCGTGCCTGATAGAACGTACCCCCTTCAAAGTGCTCCAATGGGGGTGGGGGTAGTTATGTGGGGGGCCGGGGGGTGTTTTTTGTTTGTGGGCCTTTGGTTTTTTGTTTTTTTTTTTGTTGTTGTTTGCCCTCGGGGGGGGTGGGTCTCGTTCCCAAAAAAAAAAAAAAAAAAATCACGCCACTTCTGTGTGTTCTTTGCGCCGTCAGCTGTACTTAAATGTTTTGTTTCATGCTTACGACTTGAATCGCATTTAATCGAGTTCAAAAAGTTTTTATTTGATGTAAATTTACCGAATTCTCGGAAATAGCTGAATCGATTTTAATGGTTCTTCTTTTATTGAATAGGTTTTATTTTATACTTTAGGGGTGGTGTCACCTTTAAAAAAAGTTTAAACAAACCTTGGAAAGAACATAAAGTGCACCTGAGCTTATAATCCTAGGGCACGTAATCCTGTCCTGTGCAAATGGCTGGTCTCCGTTGAGACGGCCTGAATTTAAGCCAAATAAAACGTCTACAAAAATATTTTAAGTTTTTTTTTAATATTTTGTAATAGTGCTTTGCTACAAACGAACGGTTAAATTGCGCGAACTAATTAAATATTTTAAGCGGCCACGGAACCCCATTAGCGCGGATTGGTTCACCGTTCACCCCGTCCGCTATGTGGACCGTTCATTAAACGCTTCGATTAGGAAATTTCAATTATGGACAGATTAACACCGACAGTTCATTGCACGCGAGATACTCGTATAACTTCGATATTCCGCTCGTGACGATATTGCAAACAAATTTCATACCGTTACTGTGATAAAACACTAAAACTTTCTTACCATCCGCGTGACCGAGTTTCACACGGCTATAATTTAAATGTTTTCGATTAATCGATTATTAAATGTTCCGTGATATTTTATTGTTATAGTTTGCTAAGCGTGCGATTGGAGGGAATAGAATTAAAGTGAAAAGGAACTAGGTGTCCTTATAAGAGTGCGGCGGTACTTCATGTCGAGACAACTTCTTACCATAGGGCAATACTCCACACGTGACCGAACATTTTATATATAATATGGCTGAAAACAGTATGAGTTCACCTGAGTCGACGTTGTGGCGATAAGGACTAAAATGAAATTCCTTACGCATTATACACGACCAAACTTTTGCTTTATATAGATAAAGCGGAAGTCCGGTCATGTATATATAGTTCTGATGTCTTATATGGGCTGGTGTTACAAAATGCCACTTAGTAGAGCTGAACTCAGTGGAGAAACGTGCTAAAAAGCTTATTGGTTGATTTTTTTAAGCAAATGTTATGATCTTGTCAACATGTGTGCGGAGTAGCCAGGCTTCTCGATATTATAGGATACATTTTAAAAAGTGTGCGCAGGAATTACATGATTTAATTTCGCTTTTCCTCCGACGGTCAGGAGGTCTCCACTCTCCACTCCTTTGTTTTTGATATTATCTCAAAATATCATCTTATTACATACATATAATAGTTACATCAAAATATATCTTAAGATACCATAGGAAAACCTCTTTAAAAACACAGAGAAACCTAGGTATAGGTGCTAATATTTAAAATTGGTTTTGAGTTAATTAAGATCAACAGGTCGACTCGCGAAGTTGTTTTCGAATTCATTCGATTTTCGATCTAAACTGACATTGTTTCGAATCTGGATGTTAAAAGCTTACTCCCGAATCAATTCGAATCGAGAAACACGATCAAGTACGAAGCGTTGTCAGCGACGCGCCGTTTGGTGCAACCGGGTTTTTATTTTATCAAGAAACCGTTTTAAATAAATTAAAAATTCACTTATCTAATATTATTATTACATAAGTCGCTTTAGATTATTAAGATAAATCATTGTTGTTGTTGTGGTGTACGAGCGCTGTATAGCGGCGGACAGCTGAACACTTCCATTCTCATAAAATTCCAATTTTAAAGACTGCTTTTTCAATATATTTTCCCAATTTTAAATTCTGCGCTAGCTACAATTTGAAGAGAACAGAATCACCCTAAGTTCGAATAAAATTCGACTGATTCAGAACTCGACTCTTTTGGAGATAGACTAGCGGTTAATACTCGTAATATTGTTCACTAAAAACAAATAATCATAAATTAAACCTTTCTAATCAATATTCCACGCATTAGAACCAAACAGCTTACTTAATCTTTTGTAATGCGTACAGCAAAGAATTCCGTCAGAATACAATCTGAGCATCTTCAAGGCAAGAATGAATAGGCTTTTGCTCACAGAACACTATTACTTCTTCTGCTACTCTAAAACAGTGCGATTAACTATCAGGCACTTATAATACGTAAAAAATCATAGATTACCTTGCAATCGTACAGAGGGCGCTAGAATCGCGAGCGCAGCTATCCGTAGTAGGAACGCCATACTGTTACCGCACCATGCCGGATATGCACCGCGTCGTACTGTTCCCGCGCCACTTCTGCAACACCTGGGAGCGAAGACTAATGTATAAATATCTTCTTCTTCTTCTCCTTCATCAGCATTTAAGAGTCTATATACTATGTACTAGATGTTTATGCTTTAGGAGTATTATCACTACTTTTAGTTATGACACCATCTATCGGAGGAAATAAGAATTTTCTGACATTAAACGAGGTTTATGTTTTGTTTGTAGCATGAATAGGTTGGCTTGACCAGGGAAGAAGCGCGCTCTCACAGAATACCAGTGTAAAATAGTAGCTTAATGCTGCTGTGTTTCGTATGGTGAGTTTAGAGAACCCCAAACCCTTTTTACGGGTAACGAGGCATTTTATATTAGTCAGGGTAAGAACTTATCTGCACTTTGATGATAGATGAAGATGTATATGGGTCACAGTATCCATTTACCATTAGGTGGACTATGTTATATAGTTAAGTCTATGCTCTGTTTCAATAAAAAATATCCTTCAGTCGTCTCTTACAGTGTAATGGGGAGAGACGGAGGAATTTTCGACGGAAGGATGGATTCTTTGCGCCAACATCACAAGGGAAAATAAAAAAATAAAACACGTATTACTTTATTTATTTCAGCTCAAATCTTAGACATATATAGCTTGAAGAACCGACAACTGTTGGGGAAAAAAGGTTCTCAAGTAGCAGCCTCGTACCGGTAGACGAATACCCCCCACTAGATGGAGTGACGACCTGGTAAGACATGCAGCAAGTCGATGGATGCAAGTGACTCAGGACAGTGCCCTGTAGCATTCCTTGGGGAGGCCTATGTTCAGCAACGAACTTGTGAAAGGCTGTAATGATGATGATAATGATGAAATCTTAGACACGAAGAATATATATAATGATTTCTTATATTTACGCGAACACTATATATTGATTAAAACTAAAACTAGTGAAGCCGGCCACAATCGAGCGTGTGCCTGCTGTACTACCATATTATGTCAGAGGTGTCACAGACAAGATTGGATACATCTTGAAGCGAGCTTCTATTAGAACATTCTACAAGCCGCCGAAGAAGATTAGTCAGTTCTTATCATCCGTCAAGTGTCATATTCCTCTACAAGATGCAGGAGTGTACAAGCTTGATTGTGATTGTGGTCTTTCATATATAGGGCAAAAGAACACGTAGCTGACATGAAGCATCAACGTTCCGGGAAGTCTGCAGTTTGCGATCGTATCCTAGATGGCCCCAACCATTATATCAGATTTGATAGATCACAAATCCTCGCGAGAGAACATCGATTCCTACCAAGGATGATACGTGAGGCTATTGAAATTAACAACATCCTAATTTCAATAGAAAAGGAGGCTGGGTACTACCACCTGCTTGGGATCCTATAATTAAAATAATTAAAACGAAACCCAAGCATACCACTGCAAGACTTCAAAACACAGTTAATTCATTCTGCGTAGATCGGACCAAAGACAATAATTAAAAAGCTGAAGGTACTCCGGGTTAACTTTGACATCGGGACGTCAGTCGCCTCAGTCTCCCGTGATCATGGGGGCTGGAAAGCACCCGAAACGTCGGGTATTAAAAATAAAATTAATATAACGCGATAAAATCCGTAAAAGTAGTTTTAATCATTCTGTAGTCCTGGCTCCCCGTCACCACGGGTGCTGTAAGACTGAAGTGTTTAACATCCTGATGATATAGTAAACGAAGGCTACTTTCACCCATTAATAAATAAAAGTTTTTTTTTAAAATTCCATGTGTAGTATTCGCGCAAATCATAGGAAATCATTAGGTAGGCACAAATTAACAAGAAGCACGTATTGGTCTCGATTTACGAAGAGCGTCCGCCAACGCTGCCTCGGCCTATGACTTCGCTTTGTATTTAGAAAGCGGAAAAATATAACAAAATCGCGGCGGCCATCTTTCGCTTTCTTTTGAGGAGCCATTTACATGTTATATTCGAGGCTTATCTTATTGCGACACGTTCGCGATTAGATGACTGACGTTAAATTACGAAATAGAAGTTTGGTTTTGAAATGTTGTGCCTGATTTTATTATTCCGTATCCAAACGGAGCCCTGTTAATCTCATTCTTTTGTAGTATGGTAGTAATCTGTCTGTCTTTCGGTCCGTCTGCATGTGCCACGTGTTTCTAGTTCGTAAATGTTTTGAATAACAGACCTGAAATTTGGATATCTGTTGTAGAATTAATACAATTATTTGGTTCAATAAAACTATAAGCTGCTTTATTATTATATTGATAATTACGTGAAAAAGGCGTGATAAATGAAAATTTTAGTACTATGTTAATAGTTAATACGTTCATAAAAAATTCTATTAAATACTTCCTAAAAATATTGCCTAACGACCTAAAAATATTGTTTACAAGTTTTTCTTTCTAGTTTGGTAACTTCCTATGAATTCTGCCAGCGTCACACAGAGCATTCGAATATTCCGTTTCCGTAGGAATGTTTACTTAACTTTATGATACGAAGTTACATGAGTAGTTATTTTCGAATGAATTAACATAATATAATAGTTTTACAAAATTATTGCTAATGTAATAAATAATATAATAGATATAGGTAAGTGGCAAAAGTACTATAATTTAATGTTATGTGTGTCCCAATCTAATTCTACATATGACAGATGTACTATGTTTGGAGCCATTTCTGTATAATTTTTACCGATAGACTTCTGAGATTTTTTCCAAAGGGAGTTCCAATCTAAAATCTGATGGGTTTCCGCAAGAGAAATAAGGTCATGAGTATATGTTATATGATGCGTGAGGGTACCGGAAGTAGATGCTTGTTTTACTAAGGAATCGACAATTTCGTTGTCACGTATGCCACTATGACTTGGCAACCAAGCAAGTTTCAAGTTAATACCTTGACAAAAACATCTATACAGTGCATCTTTTATTTTAAAAATAATTGGAAATTTCGATTTACTTCAAAATGAGTTAGTTGAAACGCTTTGTAATGAACTATATGAGTCAGTAAAAACAATACATTTGTCAATTTTGTGCGCTTCTATAAATTAAATTGTGTTGTAGCAACAGCTTCACTAGTGAAAATTGAAGTAACATTTGAATTCTTAAAATTTAAAATAATTCTATATTTCGGTATCCAGGCAGCTGAACCTACAAAGCTATTATCAGAAAGCTTAGAGGCATCAGTAAAAAGGGTCAACCAACCTTCCCATTTTTCGCGTAAAATACTTAAAAGAAATTATTGTGCTACAGGGGGGAATTTTTAGTTACACCGAAATCTAAAATAACTGGAGGATGATAACATAGAGCTTCAAACGGATATACGAACGGAGGATTAATTATACTTTGAAATATTGGAAATTTAAAGGTTAGTCTTACAAAATTAAATGTTTTGGTAGCTTTTAAGGATGCAGGAGGCATCTTTATGAGTCCAGTAGTTGTTATTGTTAAAACGAGAGTTTAAAGAATGCAGTTTAGAAAGAAGTGGGTGTGAAGATATCTGAAATACGAGCATTCTATATATAAAGTGATCTGCAAGATACTTTCTATATAGGTTAAGGGGGTTGCAACATTCAACTTGTAGAGCATTTGACGGAGATTATTTCATGTTTACAAGTTTGTGAAGTTAAGAAATTTCCACTTCTGACATGCAGTCCTACGACTGACAGTTTTTTTTAAATTGAGTAAAGGTGAGAAACAGGCACGCGGTCCACCTGATTTTAAGTGAATGCTGAAGTTAAAAGACATCTGCATTCATCCCCTATTAAGAATAAAAATGATAATGCGTTATCACTTATCACCCCTGAGGACTAAGATAAAATGTCTCATTTCCAGTAAAAAAGGTTTTTGGATATATCTACACTCACGATATAAAACACAGCAGCATTAAGCTGCTATTTTACCCCGGTATTCTGTGAGAGCGTGTTTGTTCGTCGGTCCTATTCGTGCCGACCTATTCGTGCTACAACCACAATAGAGCTGCAACACGGCTCTACCACGTTCATTATAATAAATTTTTAAAATTTGTATCCGGTTGTTGTAGTATTCTAAAAGTTGTTGTCGGCACCAAGTTCAGTTTAATATAGTAATTGACACAATGGACTTTTCATTACTTTGCTCAGAAGAACAACTAATAAGTTTAACACATAAAGAGTAATCAGGCGTATGATTTTGTTCTGTTTATTTGGTCGTGTTCATAATAAATAAGTCTTTGTTGTCAATCATATAAAAAATGTATCAAACTAAAGTTATATTATTAGTTATATTATAAGTAGATAAATCTCTTCATCAATTTCATGACAATCGTTTAGTTCTCTGTCTTTCTCACATCAACGCTCCGAGCGGACATAAGACAAAGTTATCAGTAAGGTAAAGGACTCCCAGAGTTAAAACTGGCTGTACTTTACCACAGTAAAACACACTGTAACTTCTTTGTATCTTTCGCTAGTGCGTCGGTTTGAAACTAAATAACAGTGGTTCCGAGCGAGTGGCGACGCCGCGCCGGTCACGCTGCACCTGCGCCGCGTGCAGCGCCCACAACACCTTGTATTATAAGATCATAACATACATCCTTAGACCATTACATCATACACAACTAGTTAGTTTTGAGCATAAGCTAATGTTATTTATTTGTACCAAGAATTTTTCATTTCATAAAGTATCATCAAAAAATTTTGTAAAATATTTTAAAACTATTGATATTAAAAAAACAGCGAGCGACAGAACAGATTCGTCAGTAAGAGCCTGGAGTCAGGAAGTTGGCGGTATTTAAACTTACATAATAAGTAAAGCGGTGAGTTCTGCGCCCGATTTCCATTCAGACGTGTTTAGTTGCCGTTCCATTGAATCTCTCGTCAAAGAGTAGCATACGCTCGTGCACTAGGTATATGACGCTGTATTTCACTATCAACTGCACAGTCTCTGATACGAAATTTAAAAAAAAGCTATCACAGACTTTTGAAAAAGGAGTATAATATGAAATTAC